GATCTGTCTCCGTCTTCAGGTGGGTAGGAAAGGATAAACCTACTCAGTTGGGCCCATTAGAAAGACCAAGACAGATCCAGTCTCCAAAACGTCGTGGTCTTTTGTCTTTTACATACCAGAGGATGGGTGAAGTCTAAAATAAGCCAAAAGAAGTACATGTTTATTTCTGCAAGTCACTTGCAAGCAAAGGTAGTCAACTTTACACTATTAATAACATCTTTATTGGTTTTCTGTGGAACTTCTTGAAAGGTATTAGCAGCCAAATTATCAAATGAACTCCGTAGTGCATAACCTCTGCAGACAGAATTATTTTTCTGAGGCAGACAAGGACAAGGGGGATATATGACTGAACAAGAGAAGAGTCAGAGAAAGATCTAAAGAGAGTAAGAAAGAAATTTATTCATGGTTCTCATTAATTACTACTGAAATGCCCAAAACTTAACAGTGGCTAATGTATTACATAAGCCTAAATCTTCAACCAGAACCAGAAAGTTCCATGTTCCATCTCTAGATCTGCTTGAAGGGAATAAGATGAACACACACACATATCATTCCACTAGTCATGTGTGGCTCTGTTGTATGGCTGGATCACAGATTCACAACTTTACCATCAGACCCCAAACAGCGTTGCGGGTTAGTGATCAGACACAGGCTTTGGGCTGATAAGTGAATCTGCTGAATACTTATTACTCTCAACTAAAGACAATTACAACATTTTCACCGTTCTTCACATTCTACAAATAACTGCATTACAATCTAAGCTGCAATATCTTCACATACTCGCTACTTGGTTATGGCCTCCAGCAACTGAGATTATCTCTGATGTTCTGTGCTTGACAGCTCCCGTCTGGGTTGGGACAGGTAAACTATTACTGGCCCTTACCAGCAAAGTCATTCCTGATTCTGGGTCCCACATGACTCAGGAGTGCACTTTTCTATTTTTCTGTCTCATGACTCTGGGAATCGTGCAACTGCTCTCTTCCTTACCCTGGCCTGGGTCAATTGCTGCTGGCCCTCACCAGCACAGTCATTCTTGGTCAAGAGCCTTGTAGGATGCACGACCATATTTTACTGCCTCATGACACTAGGGTCATGCAACTCTATCCACCATAGTTTTCTGTCTCCCGGGTTCTCCTTATTTAGCCTCAATGTGGAGTGATTAGGAAACACCACCCCTAACACTTCCTCTACTGCTGTGTGTGTGGAAGGAAGGAAGGAAGTGAAGAAGAAATAACAAGGAATTCCAAACAGGGAAATAGTGGCAGATTTTGTTAATGCAGAAACAACTGGTCCTCCACACTGTACATACATAATTTGACTACTTACTGTGCCATGTTGAGGGCTACCATACTGATCTTTCTGGGGAATATATGCCGAGGCTGGACGATCTCTTGTACCAGGACCTAAAGGACCTTCTGGTGGACGGTGCAGAGAAGACTGTGAACCTCGCAAACTTTTCTGCTGGTGTGTGGGACTCCTGCAAAACAATATGCAGCATTACAAGACAGGAGCACTACTAATATCTGCTACATACCTAAAACACACTTCCCTGCTGAAATCTCAAGGTCACAATATGCTACATTAAGAAGCAGTTTATGCAGCAAAACTGCACAAAGTAAAACTCTGATCTTAGATGAGGAACTGAAGCTCTTGTGATGAATGGTATGGGCTCACAGGTTGCAGCACTACTGTCTTTCAACCATTACTCTGAAAGGAGTCACTGTAAAAATTACACACCTGTCTTCATTTGCCTGTGGACTAGGCAGTTTCCCTCTGTTTGGGCTTGGTGGAGGGTAACCATTGTGTAGCTCATGATTCCTGTAGATACTCAAGTTCTGATAGAAACGCTCCCCTTCACAGCCCTGTTGACTCTGCATTTGGTTCTGCTGGTTCATCTGGTGCTGGTTCATCAAATTCTGACCATGGGGTGAATGCTGCTGCTGGTTATGTGACGGATACTGGGGAAGCATCTGTGGCGGATGGTGATTTGTGTGCAGTGGTGGATGCTGGGCTTGTGACGGATGTTGTGGATTTATCTGAGATGGGTGTGGATGTTGATTCATGTGATGTGGGTGGACTGTTGACTGCAGATGCGGGGAATGATGAATAGCTGGATTTGAAGACTGCCTTGATCCAAGGCCAGTTGGTGGTAAAGCCGATGTGGGGCTACGGGGGTCATTGAGATTTTGACTTGACCTATGAAAGAGGAAACGGACAATGAACGCACAACAGACGCTTAAATACTCAGGATTCTACTAACATTCATAAATTATTCTCCCCATTTCATAAGACTCTTGAAATAAATTCCTTCAGAATTATCTAATTTATATAACATAACATGAGATAAAACTGAATATTAAAAAACTGTGTGCAACTAGTTACCTTATTAATTACTTTGAAAAATGAAGCAATGTTTCTCATATCTAAAATTTTAAATAAACATGAAGTATCTACAGAATGAAACTGATTCTGTATATGAAAATGTTTGTATTAAAACATTTTCAAAAACTCTAATTAAGAACAACAGTTCACTGATAAATCTGAAGTTTGGAATTCATTAAATGATCATTCATCGCCTTCCATTTGTTCCTGTCCTTCTGCAGACATTCCTCGTCAATCTAATTTATTTCACCTATCAATGCATTTCAGGACTTAAACCACAGCCTCTCTCTCATTTCCTCCAGTTCTACTCCAGTTCACAAACAAACACAAACACACACATAAAAGACCCACTTGGGATAGCCTGGCAATTTCAGATCACAGCTCCTGGATACTGAAGTGATCTGTATGGACATTATCTACTAACTAAACCTCAGACGCAAGCATTAACAACACTCACAGAGAAGAATCAATAGTTAAACAAACCCTCACAACCAAACATGTAAAATAACATGCCAATATACATTAATGCTTAAAATGTGCTGCTATAATAACCTGCAATAACGTAATTTTGCAGCTATTTTAAGTCTGATTACCCAGCATCAAGGCAACAACAGCTGTGAATGAGTGGTCATACTTCTCTGTAGGTGGTTCCCTTAACTTATAATTCCAATCAGCAAACCATGCTTACGGAATTCTACATGACAAAATATGAACTAGTAAGTATCCCCAAAACATGATAGAGGTTCAGGAAAACTTTACAAAATGTCAGTGTACACCATGGAGCAAGTAACAGTTCAATTAAATAAATGGATGATACAAGTACTTGTTCCTAGACTACACTGTTGATGAAAGAAGCCAACAATTCCCGAATTTTGAAAATGTACTGAATAAACAGAACGATCTAATTAACATGAAACCAAAAAGATTAAAATTCCATAACAAAATTATTCAGCATCTGGCTTCATATTGTTTTACTGTTACCATATGAACACATAAAATTTTAACACAGAATTACAAATTACATAAAGAATAACAATATTTTCAGCACCATTATGAATTAATTACTGAATATAAGGACTAGGCTGTAAGCTGAAAAAGAAAGGAAATGGGATTCGACTCCTCACAGGCCAAGAGAGTTCCCGCTTCCCCACCCTGCGGTTCTACAGGCAGTAGGGGGCTCCTTTCCCAGGGGAAATGACTGGAGTATGAAGTCAACCTGTCATTTCAGTTAATAAATATAATGAGAAAACTAAAAACTCATAAAAAACCAGAACATACTTTGATCTAAGTCCTGTAGCACTGCCAGGTTGTGACTGGACTTCAAATGTCTTCTGAGGAATGCTATTTGTGGACGAGGTGCGGCTGTAACCAGGGTTGAATACCTCATGTTGCTTGCTACCTGGAGTAGAGCTCGGACCTGGTGCAGGTGAGGTGGGGCCATGCACAAGATCATTGTTTGCACCTGCAACAGGAGGTGCAATACCGATTGACAGCAGCTGCTCTGACAGATTACAACTTACAATTTACTTCCTCTATGAATAGTATCACAACATATCACAGAGGACTCGAGTCATGCAGTACAGGAAGGATAGTAACATACTTACTGTTTAGTGATGGAACCGATTTTGAACTTTGTATGGGTGTGTTGGGGGCTATGTTTCGTCTAGAATCTCCATTGTGATTCTGCTCACTTAGAAGTCTTGAAGGCAAATCTCTTTCACTCATACGACGAGACCCTGTACAGAGGCAGTAACCACAATAATAAGTAAACATTATGGGAAGGAAGACTACAACACGGATTGTTAATAACGAATCCAAACCTGTACAAATGCATAGGGCGACACTAATAACCTGTCAGCAGTCACACTTCTACGGCTTGTAGCAAGAATGTATAAAAATGGAACAATCAGACTCACCAAAACACATTTGCTTCATGAAATGAATTCCAGTACTACCAAGAGCAAAAGATTTTATGTATAAAATACAGGCTTCAAAAACTACAGCTCACTGTAAGAGAAATGTCTTTGTCATAATTTGAATATTCTTAAGTTAGTTATATACATGGCTTTTTTTGAGAAGAAAAATTTTTAAGATTGTGGTCTTCTGGAATAAGACACTGTGATTTTGTAGGCAGTTAACATTCTGAAGGAACCTGCTGCTCCAAATCCAAAATGGTGATATGATGAGATGTGGAAATCAAATGCTGATGATAACAAGTGTCATAATGCACAAGACCACAATATTAATTTTCACTGCCATAAAACTTTAATTTCATTGAAACATGATCTGCAGCAGTATGTGGCTTCAAAAGCAAGCAAGCAATCTGCATAAAATACTTTCACAACATGTACATTATTAGCTGCAGAAGTTCCTTGGAATCTGATACATATATAGGTATGACTCTCAGTCTCACATTTTGTTACACCCTGTTGTGTGAATATTTCTGTTCCTGTCAACACAACATCATTTCCAGCAGGTAGAGTTTGCTGTCTCAGCATGTGTACACCAGTTTTTAGTTATAATTATTCCACAATGTACTTAGCACAACTTTTCCATGTAAACCAAGTGGATTCACTGCTGTGTTATACACTACATATGCTACATACTATATACTGTATTATAAATGTAACGTGTTGATTTTATCTACAGGTTAACACTGTAGAACTTTGGTTCTATATTTAAATCTGGTGATCGACGTCCACTATCATGATTATTTTCTATTATATACATACAAATCAAAAGTAATTATTTTCAATAAAATTAAAATCACATCACAAACAAGGTAGCAGACCTGCTTTATTCATTATACTGTGATGTGCTTCCTGAAAGACGTCCATCACTAGTCAATACCTAGAAGTTCCTATGCAGCGTAGCCTAGAAAATCGTTGCCCTGGAAATGAAAGACTAACGGTGGGATATCCACCTTTGTAAACGATTTTTTTGAGGCAGACACATATTCCCGCATTCTATCGTAACAGTGGGCGGAATTAACCCTTCGACGAGGTATTCCCCTTTCAGTCCAAGTGCAAGATATAAGAGTTCTTACCCAACTAGAAGAGAAGAGTTCTGTTTAGCACGAATGAGTTTGTATTCAACAAGGGATCAAGGACAGTTGAGCTCCTAGCAGAGCAGAAGACACTTCACTGAGATCAGCAGTGCAAGTAATTGTAACAGTGAAGAGGAAACATCTGAAGGGCGCTGTAAGTTGAGAATACCTGTAAGTGTGAGTGCCAAAGAGATATCCAAAAGGGACAATGGCATGCCAAGGAATGATGGAGGCATGTCTGGAAGAAGAGAAGCTGACCTCAATGGACAAGAAACCTGAGACGGCACAACAATACGAGGTCCTTAAAGAAGACACCGAAATGATGCTGGTCGGAGGACCGAAGAAGAGGCGTAGGGGCTGGAAGTTAGTTGCAGAGTGGCGAGGAAAGCCAAAGAACGGACCCAGGGCAAGGATGGGTGTGAAAGAAATTGGCTGGCGCCCGCAGGGAGACGACATGGGAAAATTGTGGATCCCAGAAAACACTGGCCATGGCCAGCAGAGGGACGACCTGCCATACGAAAGTGGCACGGTGCAAGGAAAATGCAGTTGGGAAATTTTGGGCCAGGGACAATGTGGTACGAGGAGTCCCAAAAGAAGGGACACTTGGGAGTAGACATCAGCCGAAACCAGAATGCAAATGTGGAATTAAGGACCAATGCGGCAAGTGGCCGCTATACGATATCGGAGGGTGAATCTCAAGACAGACATCACCTCTGGCAAGAAGAGGAACGGCCTACAAGACTATGAAGAAGACCCTAGGGCTGCAAATCATGAAGAAAGCAACCGGGATGTTAGGCAGGTTGCGGAAGGCGAGAAACTCCACGCTGTGGAAGTATCAGCACCCTCCCTAACAAGGACTGCAGTTTGTGGAGGGGTTGACCCCTCGAAAACGAAAAAAGAGGTAGGAAACAGAGGAGAAGCTGCTAATATAGAAGCGTCAGCCTACCCAGCAAGAGTGAGAATGAGGAGAGAAAGGTAAAATTGTGGACGATGATGAGAATATGAAGTGACCAGACGTCTACCATGGAGCTGCTCGGGATGAGCACCCTTGAAGGAGGGGGCAGATGTAGCGCTCGGAAGATGAACACAAAAATTATGAAAGACAGGGGAAACATTGTTAGGCTGCTCAGGACGAACAACATTTAGGAGTGAGTATGTGTCAAGACTTTCATATCATCTACTTGAACTGAAACTTGTACAGCCTGTTAACCAAAATGCTTGCTTACCTTTAGCTGATGTTCCAAGTTTGGCTATTTGAAATAATAAGCTGCGAGTATGTAGAGAATATAATAGCCAACAATCTCTTATTTGTCAAGTTGATGTGGATTTTTCTAGGGCATTTTCTTTGGATATTACCCATTGTTTACAACAGGGATTTAAAACCACAGTCTACTAATCTATTTTGCATGGTGCACACACATTTTTAACCTATATTCCTTATTTTGAAAATATAAAATATAACATTATAAAAGGAGGCTTATGAGATCACCTTGCTGTCTGTGTATTGCCCCCTAATTCCTGAAAGCTGGAAGCTGTCCTGTTTTTATAACTATGGGATGGACCACAGAGAAAATGCTGCCAACAGTTCCTCTGTTATCAGCCTACTTCCCCTGTGTGCCTGTGTGTGTACGTGTATTGCGCTTACTGTTGCTAGGCAACGGCTTGGTAAACATGTTCCCACAACAATGACTACACATAACAATAGATGAATTGTTGGATTGCACTGTTTTCCATGTGATTCATGTCTTATCATGGTGATCAGTTTTTCTCAAAATTTCTGGTTGTGATCTTGTATTATCTTGTTCAATGACAGAAGCAGTATCCAAATTAAATACCTAATTTTAAGGAAATATCTAATAAATAATTTGATTAAAGGACACCACTGAGTACCATGCAAACCTGTTTCCAACAGACAGCAATTTGGTAGCATTTTTAATAAATAAAGGACATAACAGCATTTTCTGCTGACCAGCTGAGATTGGTGTGTGTGTGTGTGTGTGTGTGGAAGGGGTGGGAGCCATGCAAGCACAGAGCTACCCATTTCTTTAAGTCTTGGTATCACAAAGTCTTAGAACCCCTACTGTATGAGGTGGGTTACTCTATGGAACACCTGCACATTCAAAACCTTCAAGCAAACAAAGACAAGCTACAACCCTCTATTTTATCATCAAGATGGAGGGAACTGGTTCTTCTGAAATGGTAAACAGCTATCACAGCATATGACATGTCACATCCCAGAAGACAGTACCTTTAGAATTATTCTTTGTCATTGGGCATTCCCTGCTCCCAATCTTCTGTGTTTTACTTAAATATGGAGACACAGTCAATGTCCAAAATGCAGTAACGTTTTAGAATTTAAAATTGTAAAACTGAGACATTGGATAACATGCAAACAAATACCCTAACAGTGACAATACACAACTATCAACAAACTTTAGAAACACAAAACATGCTCTTTCAGATATAGGAAAGTCAGGTATTACAAATAAGTTACTGTAAAATATTTTGCAGCAGCCATTAAATTGCAGTATCACTACAGTCACGAACCTACAGTTCTGCTTTCATGTTCACATTACTGAATCTAATGTAACAGTAATTCTATTACTGTTTAACTAAGGATAAACTTATCTTTTAAAACCACAATAAATATATTGGCATTAATAATTAGGAGCTTTCGGCAACTGATCAGTCAACGCGCTTTTGCAACCATGGGTAAAAATGGCCCATAAGTAAGGGTTGGTGGTCTATTTAAATTAGGCATTCAAATAAATTCTATAATGGGAGGCTGTGTCTATTCATTCACACATCTCAAAGAATGAAACTCCATGCAACTGAAACAAATTTGGCAAGGAATCTCTGAAGTAAAAGTTGCCATGTAGATTTAATTTCAGTTCATGCTGGTTCCTAACAAACTGCGATTTACATAAGTACATCCACACAGTTTAAGTTATATTCTGCTAAATATACACTAAATCAGAAAGGGCCATGAATAAAAATTGACAAGCCCTGATAAAATACTTTACTGTCAGGAACAGATTTTCTGCATGACAGCAATTTCTAATTTTTATAAAATGCATTTGGGCATGACCTACGCATGCATTTTACACCCTTGTATTAATTAGTCCATGTACAGGTTCCAATTTCTCTTTGTAAAATATGGGTCAATAAATAATAGGAAGGACCTGAGCCCCCTATGATATCACATGCACATGAAAGTACATCGTCGTCGTCGTCGTCGTCATAATAATAATAATAATAATAGCAACAGCAACAACAATAATAATAATAATAGCAATAACAATAACAATAATAATAATAATAATAGCAATAACAACAACAATAATAATAATAGCAATAACAACNGGTTCCAATTTCTCTTTGTAAAATATGGGTCAATAAATAATAGGAAGGACCTGAGCCCCCTATGATATCACATGCACATGAAAGTACATCGTCGTCGTCGTCATAATAATAATAATAATGGTGCTCCAACTTTATATTTCAGTGCCATTCTCCAACACTCCCCATTTACTGCTTCCTTACTTAAGTTTTTGACTGAATAATCTGTTTCATTTAGTGTTCAATTTTTGTGATTCCAGCTTTATTACAACAAATTCCAGAAAATCTAACCAATTACAGGATAACAGAATCCAAATGCTGTCACGGATTGTAGTGCTGAAAACAATTATG